GATGAAGTAAGACGGCGAAACATCAGGGTAATATAGAGAGCGAATATGAAAGCGACAGTGATTCCGCAGAAGAAACTGCAAATTCAGAATAGATGATATGCACAGAATCGGAAGAAGTACCTCAAAGAATACCATTTGTATTCGCCGAAAGAGCAGCAGAACCGCAAGTATCTTCAGACATAAAAGAAGCATAAGGTTTCAGTGAAATCATTTTTTTTATCTGTAAGACATTCACCAAATATACAAAAACTCGACGAGTGAAAAAGGCTTCGAGTACAAAGGCTTAACTTGCATTATTTAGGTTTGTATGCTTTATATGTCGTAATATTACATTAAAGTAATATAAAGGAAGGAATACTTTTCTGAGCAAAAATATCGTAAGGAAATAAAAATACATCTATGGTGCTATGCATTGTTAAAGAATATATAGTTTGTTTAAAAAATGAATTTTGTGTATGGTTGCGTCTAGATGAATATTGACTCAAAGAGTTCAAAAACGTGGTAGGTGTCACAGAAGAATAAAACTAGACACTGAAAATGAAATTTTGTAGTAAATAAAATGTTTGAATAATCTACAGATTACATCAGCTTCTTCACATGCCGAGACTTTTTATGTTACTTTTGCCATTGCTGCTAATATGAGCAAATCTAAGCAGAAACTAGAGTATCAGCGTCTGAAGTGGTTCTCCTATTCTGTTAAAAACGACGGCATTTCTGGAAGAAATGCACAAAAGTAATTTATTAAAGATTTTAACAAAATTATTATGATCATAAAAGGCAGAAAATAAGCACGTAAAATTGTCAAATTCATAAGTATATTAAATGCCTTTATAGTTTATATTTTAAATAAATTTAAACAAATGTCACAATTAATTGATTAAATAACAAATTAACTTGAAACATTTCCCCTGTCTGGCGCATAATTTTTACTTTTTCATGCGTTTTCTAGTAAATGTGTTTATTTTTGGATTTTTTATGCGTAGGAAAACTAATTTATAATGATTACAATAAGAAAAATTATCCAAAGTACAACTGACTACATATAACGGTAAGAAACATGCTACATGGTCGAGGTTAACGTTTTTATTTTCATTTTTGATTGTAGATTACGAAGACTACTGCAGACACACCAAGCAAAAATGAAAGAAAACAGAACTAAAAAACAGTGTCTACAATATAATCTATAAATCTGTTTTGTGTCTCGTTTCCCAGTATGTCTCGCGAGTGATCCAGCATTAATTGCAGGGCAACGATTCAAATGACTCATCGATTTACGCATGAAAGTTGTACAATTTACAAATTGGGGTTGGAATAATGTTAATTTGATGCAGGTGTTTTACAAGGCAATCATAGCCAATAACAAGACGGAGAGATAGCATCAGATTTCTTTCTGGGCCCTAAATATGTGTCAAACTTCTGTTAATCCATACTGTTCCATTCTGTCCATTTCATTCTGCTAATCTATTCTGTTAATCCATAATGGCTCTTCCTTTAATTAAAATCTTTCTAAAAAAGCTTCTCTGCAGTAATTTTTATTACTCTTTTGGCAGTGTAAAAAGGGATGCATTTTGCATTTGTCAGTTATTTGGAGAATATTGGTCCTTTCTTTGCCAATAAATATGCCTTATCATTTCCATAAAGGCCACAGTGCTACTGCATGTCAATGTAGTCACCCTCCTAAGCTGAGTTGTTTAGAAACTGCTGACATTTTAAAACATCAACAGATATTGGTGATTGAAAAGGAGAAATGGCTAGAAGGGCAGCTTTAGAATGTGTTGATTTTATGACAAAATTATGGCAAAATTTGCAAAATGTTCAAGTTGACATTGGAGTTGGGATAAGACTACGTGTATGGACGTGATATCAGCATCAAAAGCAGTTCTATTCCTTCCAACAGGTTTATAAAATCAAAAATGTTTCAAAAGATGCCAGCGCCTGCATTAATACTGTCAGCCAACTCAAAGCCATCCCTAAATATATGCAGCTATTCAGTCTCAGAATATAAAACATTAATGGTCGAGGTTCAAGTATATAAGTTTTTAACAGAATTTTATAGACGTTTGATGACCATTCCAAAGCACATAAATATTATATAACTGATTTAGAGGAAGAAACTTAAAGAATGAAGGCTTGAATGTGTTTTAAGAAAACACTTTACATAAATCTTTCTCTGCAAATGCCTAGCTGTTGAAACATGTATTTCAGTATCAGAATTACTGAGGTTAAATGACATGAAACTGCTCAGGAAGTTCGCTAATGATCGTTCCATGTCAAAAATCGTGTCTAGAAAAGTCTAGGAATTAAAAGGCTCATTAAGGAGCTCTTTTCAAAAATTCTCATAAGTAAGGCTGGTACTTTCGTTAAAAAAAAAATAGTTAATTTTTATTTTCTCTCAAATTATCACCATTTTTTCGAAATATAATATGTTGATATATATATATATATTATATAACAAACTTAGAGCATCTAAAGTTAAAAGTAAAGTAAATTGGAGTCAAAGCAAGGCAATTCCTCAACAATATTAATAATTGTATCCTTGTATAAGAAGTTTCACAATATCTAAAACAATTCAAATTATAAAAAAAAAAAGGATCACAGTAGTACAAACTCGAAAACTAAAATGTAAAAGGGAAAAATATAGAAGAAAAAAAATATAAAATTAATCTTCTTTTATTGAAACTCCAATTCAGAACTCATCAGGGAAAATGAATTTGTATTTATATATATATATATAAGACGATCCTAAATTTTAAGGTATTTACAAAACAGGACTTATAGACAAGTCATTTTCACATATATGAACTTGATATATATATACAAGAAACGTAATTGAGTAATCTAATTTGTATATTGAATATTAAATAAGAAAGATAATTAAATTATCAAAACACTATAACAATGAATGAAAAATAAGTAAATATGCCTCTTTAAAATGTAAATCCTAAGGTATAAATAAACATATGAAGAATTTATATTATTAAGCTTCTCCTTTAAAGCAAATAAGACTTACGAAAAGACAAAATACTGATAATTTATCATCTTACATTAGGTATTAATACTTTGTTTTGTGTTTTAAGGCCATTTTCTCCAAAATATACGTTCGTAAAATAATAACAACATATCAAGTATCTGTAATATAACTTGTGAAAATAAAGTTTTACAAAATGTTAGCAGTATAAAATGTCAGTACATTATTTTAATATCACATCTAACTGTATTTAAAGACTCTCTACATAAACAAATTTAAATGCTTTTTGTAATTTTAAGCATACAGAAGTGAAGGGTTATAAGAGGAAACTGTATATCAACTGAAGAGTATCATGATATGCTTCCATGAAAATAGAACTGTACAAATAAACCTTTGCTGTACCTGGTTACCACATGACTGGAGTGTAGAAATTGTCAAATATAACACCAGCTAATCTAAGATATAAAATCAATAAAACTAATCTGAAATACAGAAATAATTAACTTAAAAGTCAGCAGTACCGCTAGGCTACGAGAATGACAAATTGGTGGAGACAGCATGGTGTGCCTTCATTCTCACCAAACACATTCATATTGCTTGTTATTACATATCCATATCATGACATTCATATACTCATAGTAAAGCATTTTATTAAGATAAAAGGTATCACGGTAATTTTGAACAGAAAAAAAATTATAATTTGTATTTTATTTTGCATTCATTCCGTCAGGTGCCTATAGGCTTATTATAGCTATTTTTAAAAACATTGTGATGCCAAGCAGAAAATACTATGAAAGCTAATGTTTTGAAAAGATGTCACAGTTTTCCCGAACTCATGATTCTAAAATTAAACATTATAATGTAACAAACATAACAAAACTATAAAGTAATTACTAATTTCGATTGCAATCTGAGCAAGTGAATTCTTTGCGTTAAGATAAATTTGCCTTTTACAACAATGATAAAAACGAACACGTTAAAAAGTCTACAAATTTGTAATAGATAGCTAATAATTGCTTCAGGGCTATACATATGGCTATTAGGTCACCATCAAAGGAGGTACCAATGTGTCCTGCAGGAGCGTAAAAAGAAAAAGATTCGAAAACGCACCAGTTGGCAGTCAAAACTGAGAACAGTCAATAAAAATGTGCAGCCAACTGAGGATATGAATGTAACTCAAAATATTACATATAAAGAAAATTGAAGCAAAACAGAATAAGCAACTAAACGATTTATGTTGTTCAAATGCAACAAAACAACATGGATACTAAAAATGCAAATTAAATAACTGAATGGATGTTTTAACAAATAAAATTGCCTAGAAAAGTGAAAAACTTTTATAATTAGGATCAAATTGTTAGCATGTATTGAAATCTTTACTTTAGATAAGCTAAATCCAGTAACTTCAGAAAGTACATAGTGCAAAGTTATGCATATAGTTTTTAGTGTTTGCCTTTTATTTTTAATGTGTGGGTCAGGACTTTCCTTTTAGGGTCGTCATACCACTGCGTTTGATATAGTCGGTGCATTAAAATGCTCACAAATAGCCTCTACGTTAGAAGTATAAATTGCCAGTCTTAAAATGTAAATTATCAGAAATTTAAATCAGATGTTAATTTACTCTTGAAGCTTGTCATTTGAATGATTACTGAATTTTCGTCGTTATAAGTGGGCTTGTCTCATTACCATTCGTTTATTTAGGAAGTAGTATTATCGTTCAATTGTAAAAGCTATAGGAGATTTCTCTTGCTCAAAACACGTTCTGTATTTGTAGCAAACTACAGTAAAAATTTGAATTTTGAATACGATTAGAAACAAGGACATCTCACAGCAATCTGTTCTGATTTTCTCAAAAATTAAATCGTAGAGTAATTAGATTATTACAAAAGAGATCGGATTTTATTTCATGTTCGTTTAATAAATTACCAGGAAAAGTCTATCCTACTCTGTTCTCTAAGAAAAGGAAAGGGTTGCTATTTTGATTGGTTGGTTAATTTTAGTTAAAGCAAAGCAGAAGAAGGGTATAGGTTACCTGAGAAGGAAAAGATGTCTTCGTGGGAAGACCTTTTAATGGAACTGGTTCGTATCTACTTAGCCATTGGTGAGCTTTTCTAGTTTGGAGAATTTCTGTAGGAAAACGAATGTTTTTATTTTGCTCTCATAGGGAATTACTGAGTAATTCACTGCAACCAAATCATTCCATTGTCGGTAATCGAATCTTGGATACAGCTGCACATTTTAGGGCGAATTCGTCTCAGTCATTCCTGTAATAGATAGAATCTTAATAAACTTGTTATTATACAAAATTATTTCGATTATTTTGAGACATTAAATTAAACAATCCAAAAACTCTCAAAACGAAAGTCCAACATTAAGAATCAGCGTAAAGTTTCAAAATTTTTTTGCATTACTAGTTTCGATAGTTTTTGAACTACCTTCTTCAGCTGCTAAGTGCAAGTGAACCACATAAAGGGTGAAGAGAGATAAGATAATAAAGGTTGGACAGAAGTTAAGCTACTCGCGCCATCTATTGATGAAACAAGAAAAACTAAAAGAAAATTCTTTAAAGCTGAATATAAAGATGAGTTGCAATAGGGGTCATTAACTAGAAAAAAAAATGAGGGGGGGATGTGAAACGCTTCTAAAAATCTAATTCACCAATGGAGGATGTTTTCTGAATAATATTGGTTGCAGAAAAAATGGAAAATGGGATTTTCATTCCAACAATGCTGAGCAAAAAGGGGATTTCTGTGTTTCTTTTTTCCTAACATATGCCTCATGTTCTTTAACACGAAATTTTAAGGCTCTTTTTGTTTGACCAATGTAAACCACACTGGCAAGGAATCCTGTGAATACCCCAGGAATTCATATCCGGAATGGAGTCCTTAAGCATGAAACTAGGAATTTTATCGATAGGAGAGGAAAAAAAAATTAATTTACGCTGATTCTTAATATTGGATTATTTTTTATTGTTATTCAGCGTGATATTTAAACTAAATCCAAAAACTATTTACGAATCCTCCAAAAATCTCCTAGATATGTTTAAGAAATCCAAAATCTGCAAAACTAAACATCATACGAACAAGATTGAAGTAAATTATTTTTCATATTGGCCAAAAAAAAATTACATTTCAAGCTTACAAGTGAACAATGCATACTAAAGAAAACATGAAATATTAAATAGATGAAAATGTTAAGCAGGTAAAACTACTAAAATTTAAACATGTAAGAGAAGAAATATATTGAGCAAGAAAGTAACATATATTTTCATCCATCATTCGAGAAGTAGCTTGAATTTCAACTGTTTTAAGTGAATTCGTGAATACAAGTTTTGGATTTATTATATTTATCCGATTGTTAACATCACTGGATTCTCTTGTTTGCAGGTATCATATATCATATATCAGATATCAGATATCATATAAATAAAAAATTTTAAATGAAAAAAATTCTTGCATTTTTATTTATATTTACGAGCGTATCAAAATATTCATTCGAGTTTGAAGAGACAACCATTTTATTCAATTCTCAGCGTTTCAGGATATGTATAACAAGCGTACTTTCCTCTTCTGATGAAGGTGTTTGGGGAATTGTTGCTTTGTTATTATTATAAAATATACATTTATAATTAAGTAAACAAAATTCTCTGCTCAAAATATGATTGAAGACAATTTGGAACGACCTCATGTGATCTGAAAAGAGTTCTCAAAAGGAAAACCTATATGAATACAGCGTAAATTTGATGTAATGTAAGTAACTTGCAATATATTTTTATTTAAAAATCATCAAACAAAACAGCGGCATTTACAAATATAGATTATGCCTATCCAGCAGATTAAAGCGCAGTCAAACCAAATTAAATTACATGTAAGCGAACAGATGAATTTTTTTGAAAACATTTCTCAGTTGAATGAACTGAGAGAGCTAAAGAGAATACAATGAGCTACGGATTCAATTCATACGATAATGGAATTATTTATCTATATTTAGTATGGCAAAAAATGTAGTATAAAGGTATAACCATTGCTATACCGCAAATGAGCAGAACAGCACCTAAAGAGGAAAAACGGCGTGGCCGCCTACGATGGAAAGAACAGACTGCAAGTGCATTGTCCAGTCGACTTTCCAGTGTAATTATATTCTCACAGAACAACATTCAGTAAACAGTATAATGCACGATACACTACGTGAATTTCGGAATTTGTCTTTCTACGTATATTTTAAACATAAACACTGGACCTTGCCTGGAAGTATTGGTTAAGCATTTGGAACTTGGCTGGCGGCAGAAATAAGCATACTTCCAGGACTGACTTCTAATACAAATTGTCAAAGTGCAAGTTGGGCTGCTATGTGAACTTTCTAACAGCGTTACAGACATATGGTCTGCATTTTCTCTTGCATTTGATACAATCAATGCTTCGCGTCTTCTCTCTGTTGGTTTTAGGGATTTAGGGAGCTGGCTGTTATGTTTCGTTCAATAAGGTTTGGTTTGGTTTTGGTTTATTTAATTATTGCAAAGCACACGAGAGCTATCTGCCTAAGGGAAGGGATGCCTTCATGGAGGACTTTCTAAGGGAAACTGACTCGTATATACCTTACACATGGAGAACAACACGAAAACGCCCATGCAGCCAACCCGTTCTTCGTTCAATAAGAAAAATAATTTTAAATAATTTTGTTGGTTTTGCCATCATAGAAATGCTCGAGAAGACTGCCTATTAGAGAGTGATTCTTACGTAAAGACTGTAAAAGGAAAACTGTTTCGTATATGTTACGTTTGCAGAAAAGTATAAAAGGTTTATGCAAACAGTTGACTGATTACAATGGGAAATAATAGTTTCGCGGTGATACAAAGTTTCGAATTATGTATAATTTTACTTCTAAAGAAAACTTTGTAAATCAGGTTTTCTTAACCTGTGGGTCGCGACCCCCAAGAGTGTCGCGGGACCTGCAACAGGGGGGTCGCCAAACTTTTAGTAGTTTTGATATTTATTTAACTTATTATAATAATTTTACAATTACCAAATATTTTTACACAATGCATTTGAAAATAGATAAAGATAAGACAATACAGACAAAGATAAGACAATACAGACAAAGATAAGACAATACAGACAAAGAAAAAAACGAAAACAGATTTCAACGCATTCTTTTTATAATATAAACGTTCATTTTTCTTGGTTTGCACGTGACGCTGACATTTTTCGTCTGTGATTTATTTAAAATTTTCACATCGTTCTATACCTTAAAATCAAAAACTAAAGTTAATGACCTAAAACTGCGATAGTATATTACAGTACAAGTGAAAAAATTGACAATTTCACCCACGCCTGTGTCGGATTTGCGCAATACTTTTGGAGTCCCACAAAAATTTTTGGAAATATTATGGGGTCACGGGTGTCGCGAAAAAATCTCAGTGACAAAAAGGAGTCGCGACTGAAAAACGTTTAAAAAATCCAGCTGTAAAGGATACGGAAGATACTTTAAGGTTTTCGAAGACGTCGTTTTAATGAATCCAACAACAAGATAACAATCTAAACGAGCATTAACACTTTGACCATGAAAGTTCAGCCGTCGTCCTAATTAAAAATTACCATGGTTGACGCTGCATATCACTTACAGAAATTCCTTGTACTAAAATAATGGATTATTAAATCTTTAGGTTTCTTAATTCTTAATTCATAATCCATACAACATATATTCATAGTATCTTTACTAAATATCGAAAAACATCTTGCTATCTCTTGTTATTGCATGAAAACCTCTTGCTAGTTTTCGCAGCGACTTGCGCGAAATATATGTCTTGTACAACCGCTGAATTCACTTAATCTCGATGACACTGCAGACCCTCAAATATGCTTGCTAAATCTATTTCATGTCGGTATTTAAGGTATTAAGTTACCAGTCTTCTAAGAAGTATTAAGTTCCCAGTTTCCTTTTTCTAAGAAGTTAATACTTCTAAGAAGTATTAAGTTCAGTACTTAAGGTATTAAGTTACCAGTTTCCAGAAGAAGAGCTATTTAAAACTCAGACGCTAAAGATGCGTCTGAGTTTTAAATAGCTCTTCTTTCTTTGCACGATGTCTCAGTCCAGGAGACCAGATCATCAGCACACAATAAACATATAATGCTGGTATTTTCAGTTTTAGTTATGAGACTATTTATGTATATGTTAAGGAGAAGACAACTGGTAACACCTCCCTGTAGGAGGCCAGTTCTATGTGCTTTATTTCTTGAAAAACAGTATTCATAACGAACTTTACAAGGCTACTAGCTAAGAAAACTCTTGAACCAATGAATTATGTTTGAAAGAACTCCAATACTGGAAAGCTTCAAGAGAAAAGTACACTTACAAGCGGATCTCAGGTCAAAGAAAACTGCGGAAAGGATGTGTTTTTTTCTCTGATACATCCTTTACTATTTTCTCTTAGGAATATTTCAATATTAATAATTTGTTCTTATTAAGGTTGTCTTAAATAATCATTATTTGTGACAGTAAAACAGCCAGCCAAATATGGCGGAATGTTTTATGTAAGCAGACCAAATTATGTAACTCATACCAAATGTAGGAAATACTGTAAATTAAGTGACCAGTTTGCATTCCAGCTGGAGGTTACGTTGATAAATATGATACAGAATAGCTGGTTCTTGTTTGGCTTAACCAGACCAAGTGGATGGCTTTGCATGGCACTGTACGGAGCGTAAGTGCATCTTTCAGTGGGGGTATCATTTGCGTTAAATTGGTAGTATATGGGTATGTTATCTGGGTGATCCATGGTTATTTACTGATGTCAGCCATACTTCAGTTTGTAATCTGTCATCAGAAGGTAAACAACAAAAACAAATTTTATAATTATTTACACGTTTATAAACATTTTGAATTCTGAATGTAAACTTCAGAATTCAAAATTCAAAATGAAACAGTATAAGTAATGATTTACAAGAAATTTATATATTACTCCAGAAAATTATTTGCTTCAATCTCAATTTCGGGGAAGTTACATTCTCAGTTTCTCAGAAGCTTTCCTCTCAATTTACGCTACCTTCTCGACTGTAATTTCAAAAAGCGATAAATATTCATAATGCATTTTGTCATCCATGAGACGCTTTTACACCCAGAAAGCAAAACTAAAGCAACTTCATGAAGAAAATTTATCTCAACCGTACGAAAGATAAATCTCTATACAGAGCTTGAAAAATTCTGTTTATATCTTTATTTATACCTTCGGAGTGCAACAGAAAATTTCTGAAAAACAAGCGTAGCA